GAGAGAGAGAGAGAGAAGGGGGTGGAAATCCACCCCCATCCCCCTCTTTTGTCCAGAAATACAAGTTTGACAGTACTTGGGCGAGTGTACAGTACTCTCCCAAGTTGTTCATATTCCCATTTACCCCAGTTTGTTCATAGTAACTTGCCTCGGCAACCTTGCTGATGTCGAGTTATTCAGCGGAGTCCAAATGGATTCGTTGAATCTTCGAAACTGGATTACTTTCTTCAGAAACAAACACTTAGTACTTAAGGGGATGAGATAGAAAGTAATATTGCTTAATGATTGATCCAGTGCAGGTATGTACTAGCTTTCTTTGCCTATGCTGGTTGTAATTTGGTTTTGGCCGCAGTTTCTGCCACTGTCTGTGCTTACATTGCTCCAGCTGCTGCGGGTTCCGGTATCCCAGAGGTTAAAGCCTATCTAAATGGTGTTGATGCTCATTCTATTTTGGCACCTAGCACTCTATTTGTGAAGGTTAGTTCAATTTCAATCTCACCTTTTTTGGTAATTGAATTTGCAAAAATGAACAGAATCCCTGTTCATTTATTTTATGGGAAAGCATACCATACACCAAGTGTGGTATATGATACTCCAATCATACATCTGTTGTCCATTTACTCTGAGAAATGGTTGAAGATTAACTGGACTGTGATCTGGTGGGACTAATGATTACACACTATCCATCGTGGAAACAATGATGGCTTGAAGTGCCTTATAGCGTATTCCATTGTATTATGTTGTACTTTCCCTTATCTTTTGAAGTTTGTGTGTTCATTTATCTTGAAGAAATCAAAGGCTCCTGTTTCTCAAAGGATTCAGTTATTCTGTTCTCATTTTTTAGTAAGTGAGCTTCAGTTATTCTTTTTTCATTTTTAAGTAAGTGAGCTGGTCTCTGTGATGTACCAAATTTGGACGTTCAATGACTAAAAGCCTTAGCATCCTGCTCTATCATTTTGACCTTGCCTTCCTACTTTTCGTATGTATGACCAGTATTTGCTGAACTACCAGTTAACTTCTTTTGACTGCTCATGACGTCTACCAACCAAACACCAAAAGCAGAGAAGGGAATCCAAGATAATTATTCAAATTTTTATCTATCACTTAGCATGCAGTCTTGTCATTTTGTCTTTTATTTGGTTCCATTATAATCAGTCAATCTATAATCAACAGATTTTTGGTTCCATTGGTGGGGTCTCAGCTGGCTTTGTTTTGGGAAAAGAGGGGCCAATGGTGCACACTGGGGCTTGCATAGCCTCCTTATTGGGGCAAGGTGGTTCCCGCAAGTACAATCTTACATGGAGATGGCTTCGATACTTCAAAAATGACCGAGACAGACGGGACCTCATCACCTGTGGTGCAGCAGCTGGTGTTGCTGCCGCATTTCGGGCACCAGTTGGTGGCGTCCTATTTGCCCTTGAAGAAGCAGCATCATGGTATCGCATCCTTATTTGTCACTAATAACGAAATCAATAAAATAGTAACTAATAGATCAAATGAATTGATTAATCCATTCATCAGAGAACTCAGTTAACAATTTAAAAAAAAAGAAGAAAGAAATCTGTTCATCAGAGAATTACATAAAGTAAAATGTTGGCATCACCCATTCACCTTGTTTAGATTTTAGGCTTCCATGAACCCTTGCTTAAGATACTTTTAGTTAATCTTGTTTAAAATAAAGTAAAATGTATGGTTTCAACCATGAATAACATTATTTGAGTGAGCTTTTATAGATGGATGCTTATTATTTTAGCTTGTTAAGATACAAGTCAGGAAAATATTAGGGAGAAGTTTAGATAGAGCCGAGGCTCTAAACAATCAAATTAGAGCCTACTTCAAAAATTTCAATACAAGAAGTTGTTTTGATGCCCAAATATCCTCAAATTAATCATCTCAACATCAAGATGCATGGATATGAAAAAAAATGGATTTCAAGTTTTGAAAATAATGTATTTTGTAACGAATTTTTGGATCGTCAATTTTCAAGATTTTCAAGTTTTCATAGATCTGTCAATCTACACTATTTTTGAAGCTTTTAACTTTACAAATAAAGATGAAAATATATTTTAAGGATATCACAAAGATTTACAGTATTGAAACCACATTTCTTGACACCATTTGAAGGTAGGCTCTAATTTGATGGTTTAGAGCCTAGGCTCTATAGAAACCGCACCCAAAATATTATGTATGTGTTTCAAAAGTTTGTGTTGATGTATCTATAGGGCTATGCTTGTTATTTTTTTAATGGCGGTTTTGGTATAGAGCCATGCTAGTCCTTTTTGAATGACCAGAGATGGCTATGTTTGATATCCTGCGACCCACCCAAAGGTGTGATGCTTCCTCGGAGAACTCTGTAGAATTGCAGTTTTTTTATGTCTCATGAATCACACTAGTTTTTTTATGTTTCATGAATCACACTAGTTAGTTACAAGAGCTTTCCCAGACAAACGTATCAGTCTACTGCTTGTGGGGACTATCATAATTGAAAATTCATGTACTAGTTTCTTGACAAGGACACCATATTCCATTTATGTATCTATCTTTATTGTTACTTTTTGGGTGGGAAGTATGGGAATAAACTTTCAAAAAAAAATAAGTATAGGAATAAACTTTACGAAAGGAAGAAAAAAGAAAAGGCAAAGACGGGAATGAAATGTGCTAGTCTATTCAGAAATGAATCCTAATTTTAATCTAAAGGGACATACAACTGCAGAAAGTGCCAAATATTCTATTTTGGATCAGTTAGCCATTTGGATTTGAGATGGCTTGTTTTTTCCCCCAAAATCCATAATATTAGACTGAGGACTATATGCTATGTGCACTTATGCTATGTACACTTACTATGAACTATAAAAATATATTATTATTATAATAAAATATTAACATCTACTGTACATACTTGCACTATCAAATAGTATTAACTGTTATTAATCCATGCCACTTGTGACTACCATGATTACCAAAAAGAAAAATCGGAAGAAAGATTATAATGCCCAAAAATTGCAATGGGAGGAGCAGCACTAAATTGTTTCTTGCATTCACAGGTGGAGAAGTGCACTTCTTTGGAGGACATTCTTTACTACAGCAATAGTGGCTGTGGTGCTTAGGACCCTCATAGACTTTTGTCGCAGTGGAAAATGTGGACTGTTTGGAAGGGGTGGCTTGATCATGTTTGATGTTAGTTCCTCTCATGTTTCATACAGCTTACGTGATTTGGTACCTGTATTAATTCTTGGAGTCATCGGTGGTATCTTTGGTAGCCTTTTCAACCGTCTTTTGGACAAGCTTCTTCGAACATACAGCATAATCAATGAGTAAGTCATTCCCCTCTGAATCTTCAATATTAGATGTTGTGAAAATGAGTTTGAGAAAGTGGAGAGCTTGGAATCTTATGAATAGTTGAGAGAATCAGCGTTTGTATCTCTTATGCTACCATGACATGACTATTCTATCAGCGTCTGCTTTTTTCTTTTTCTTCTAAATGCGAAGGTAATAACTCATTCAAGGTAAAGATAGCAAACAGTGACTTCATGACAAATCCGTTATTCTCTGTATGTGTGTGCGTACGCGCACATGCATGTGCAATTTGTGAGTGTGTGTGTGCAGGAGTAATTAAATTTTGGTTAATGAGCTATTATACTTGCATTATTCTATTGTACTTGCATTCTTCTGTACATTATGGCACATATACCATCAGCACTTCATTGCCAACAATTCATGGCTGATGTGAGCTGTTTTTCTACTCAAAGCAGAATTTGAGATATTTGAGTGGAGGAATAATTCACATCCACCCTCCGTCATTGACAACTGATGATTGATGTACATGTAGCTTATTGAAGAGTATCCTATAAGTACTAACGTATCCTTCCCCTCTAAAATTTCATACGATGTGAGGATAGAGAAAAACATGCAGCTTGTTTTTTGTTGGAATAATGATAACAAATCCAACATCTTATTGATAAAAAAAAGTAATAACTACCAACTATTTGTTGTAGGAAGGGCCCGGTGTTCAAGATACTTCTAACATGTGCCATCTCCCTCCTCACCTCATGCTGCGCCTATGGCCTTCCTTGGCTTGCCAGCTGCACCCCCTGCCCCGAAAGCCTCAAGGAGCCATGTCCAACTGTTGGTCGCTCAGGCAACTTCAAGAGCTTCAACTGCCCTCCTGGCCATTACAATGGCCTTGCATCTCTCTTCCTCAACACTAATGATGATGCTATCCGCAATCTCCTCTCTTCTACCCTACACGAGTACACTATCCCCACAATCCTCACATTTTTTGTTTCTATCTATACACTAGGTCTCTTAACCTATGGTGTCGCTCTCCCGTCTGGGCTTTTCATCCCTGTTATTCTCGCTGGTGCCTCTTATGGCCGTTTAGTTGGTCGCGCCATAGGCTCCTCCCTTCCTGACCTTGACCCTGGCCTCTTTGCTCTCTTGGGAGCTGCTTCCTTCCTTGGAGGCACCATGCGCATGACTGTGTCTGTCTGTGTAATCCTTTTGGAGCTTACAAACAACCTCTACATGCTCCCCCTTTTGATGCTCGTTCTTCTAATCTCGAAAACCGTGGCTGATGTTTTTAACCGAGGTGTATATGATCAAATAGTGAAAATGAAGGGCCTTCCATTCTTAGAGGACCATGCCGAGCCATACATGAGGCAATTGGCAGCCAGTGACGTGGTCTCAGGGCCATTGATGGGCTTTTCAGGGATTGAGAAGGTGGGGAATGTGGTTCATACGCTCAGGGCCACAGGCCATAACGGGTTCCCAGTCGTTGATGAGCCTCCACTGTCTGAGGTCCCGAAGCTCTGCGGGTTGGTCCTGAGGGCTCACCTTGTGGTTCTTCTCAAAGGGAAGATGTTTACTGAGGGGAGCAGGAGCGTTGGAATGGAGGAGTTTGGGAGGAGATTTGGGGCATCAGATTTTGCAAAGGCGGGTTTGGGGAAGGGGCTGAGGATTGAAGATGTGGAGCTGAGCGATAAGGAGATGGAGATGTATGTGGACTTGCACCCGATCACGAACTCATCACCATACACCGTGGTGGAGACAATGTCATTGGCTAAGGCCGCGATGTTATTCAGGCAGCTCGGGCTCAGGCACTTGTGCGTGATGCCCAAGACTCCAGGGGTGAGTTTGCATTGCATGTTATCTGATGTTTTCAAGGGGAGGGTTGATGCAGTCTGAATGGCAATATGGTTATATTTGTCTATATTTATTAAAAAAATTGACTTTCCAAAGAAATAAATATCTAAAATGTAAAGGTTAAAATCATAAAAGAAGTAAAAGAAAAGGGCAAATTGGTAGAATCTTAATAAAGATTTAATTGGTTGTGAGGAAATAAAAATCAAATGCAAACCATTCACTAAACTTGTTCTCAAGTTTTTCAATCCTTGCACGAGTTGGAAGGCCTATAAAAAGCAGTTTTCAAGAACCTTACAAAAGGCTAAAACCCCAATTGTATTTTTAGCCACTGGTTTAAAATTGCTTGGAGGACTTGGGACTTGCCGGAGTCGGCCCAGATCGGGAGTCAAGAGCTTCTGGGCTGAAAAACCCGGCGATCACTTAAGGCTCCTTATTTTTTCATAATTCTTAAATATTTTTATTAGATGTTCCGGTCTAACTTGGACTTGACCCAGTCAGACTGGGTGGATTTAGGCTTGGGCCCTAGCAGGTTGGACCCAGAGCCCGACTTTTAAAACCTTGTCTTTAACCAAGCATTTTGCCATTAGGAGATCCATTTTTCTTCTTAAAGTGACATAATATCTTTGTTTTAACTCATTATTAAGGCCCAACTTTTGGTACGCATGTCGGAAATTAAATTTCCAGCTATACATGAGGAGAAAATTGTATATTTATATGCTATGAACAGTGTATGAATCAAATAATGGTGTGTTGCAGGGGGCCCCGATTGTCGGAATTCTTACCCGCCATGACTTCATGCCAGAGCACATCATCGGACTCTACCCTCACTTGAGACCCCACAAATAAGAACTTCTTCGGTACCTCGTTCGAACCTACAATGAATTTTCGATCCTTGTCGGCTTCATATTCAAATTTAAACATCCTTTTACACACAGGGTTTTTTTAGTTTTTTCCTTTTTATTCTACCATTTATATGATCTTTATCAGTTTTGTAATTGCTGTAATCTAAATCAAAATAAAGTGGGTGTCTCTTGTGTCATTGATTGAATTTCATGTCCGTTGTCCAATAATGAAGTTCAAATTTGTTGATCTTTGCCTGGAGCATGACCAGCACCATCATCATGGTTGAAACTATTGTTATTGATATATTTGTTTTGGAGATAATCATAATTATAGAATGCGTAGCAATCATATAATCACTCAACAACGACGTCATTAGATTGAAAGCATAAAAAAGCACAGAAGGAATCTACTGGCTGTCCCCTCCGCTGCTCACTGTGGCATATTTGGAGTCAGGTTCGAATTATGCCCGTTTAAAGTCGTTTGAATTTACCCACATATATATGGGGTTTGTCTAGAGTTAACAATCACTCAAAATGCTAAAGTTCAAATTAAATAGGGTTCTGATGGGTGTATTTATAAAAAATAATCATTATTTTTTATTAAAAAATTATTTAAATAGATAACTTTATCATTAAACAAGGATAAATTTGAAATTTTCACACATTTTGAAAGTTAGTATTAAAGAACTTTATTTATAGAGTGCTCTTGTTTTTTAGTTAAAATTTCAATTTTACTTTTTATGAAGATGATAAAAATACCTTTTTTTTTATAATAATATTTATAAATTTGCCCCACAAAAATAAACTTTTTGTAAAAAATAGACAACAAAATTAATAAATCCATTATTCACAACTCTCTTTATCTTGAACTTTTGTAATTTGAAGGGTTGTAAAGTTTAGAATATCCCATATATATATATATATATCATTAAATTTGACATGGATCTTTAAAAAAGTCAAGTCCCACACCATGTGATAACTTTTCTAAAGATCCAAATTTAGTATCGATCTCTAGAAAAGTTAAGTCCCACACTCATGTAATAACTTTTCTAGAGATTTGTGTCAAATTTAATGGTAAATTTAGGGTCTTACACACATGGGTGTGGGAAGGTTTCATAAGATCGTTATTATATATATATAGAAAAAAGATATGGTCAGCAGACTCATGTAGATTAGCTAAATGTGCCAACGCCTCAAATTGAATCCGCGTCGATCTGGCAATCACGGATGTCCAATAGTGTCTTGTAGTGTTTGAATTTTAATTTTTTTTTTATTAATCCAAATCATTTGAAATTTTAGACGTGTGTTCTTAAAAAATAGATGAATCTACGAAAAATATTAAAAAAATATTTTACATGAAACAAATTGACCAAACTACCTCCTCAAAGTTTCAGGGGTATTTTGTTCAATTTTTTTCTTGTAAAATATTTTTCGTAGATTTACTTATTTTTGAAGAATACATGTCTAAAAATTTCAAGTGATTTGGATTTGTAGAAATATAATTAAAATTCAAACATTACCAGACATCCGTAATTGTCAGATCGGCCCATATTGTTGGCGTATTTAACTTATCTGCATGAGGCTGTTGGCCATATATATATATATGAGCAATGATTTCATGCAACCGTTGTGTAATAATATGATGCAACAACCTTATAAAACTATCTTATGGCCATTTGTTCGATACAAATTTTGAAATATACATTTTTTTTATTCTAATGACAAAAAAAGTAAAAAATTGAAAACACAACTTCAAAAGTATTTTTTTAGCCCAATTAACATAGGTTGTTCATTTTGATAAGATGCTTAAATCTAGGCCTTTGAAGGATTTTTTTTTAGATGGCTTTATTATAATTAGATGAACAATGTTAAAAAAGAAAAAAATGATTTTGAGTTTATTAAGACTAAGATCTTGAAATTTATAAAATGAACGGTCTAGAATCGTTTTTGGAGGGGACTTATTTTGACCGTATCTAGGCTTCAAATTGAACTTTGTTTTTTAAGGGATTGATTATTGAGATGAAGAGAGTGTGTGTGCAAAATTTGAGGTCATACAAATATCACAAACATGGTTTTTTAGAAGTGTTGTTGTATTATACTATGATACAATCGATGCATTGGATTATTGCTTATATATATATATATATATATATAAGGAGAGAGAGAGAGAGAGAGAGCACTAGGCTTCACCAGAAACTGTTCATGCCCTAGTTCTCCCTTCCCTTCCGCCTCTTGGGATTGACGCTCCGGAGGATTTTAGTCATTGCTGCCCATTGGAACATCTGACGTCAATGTAAAAGAGAGATTTGAAGGTTGGTTAGAAGTAGTGAATAAAAATATGATGACTTATGGTCTTATTGAGAGTATAGCCCATGTTAGAGCAAAATGACACATTGGGATTTGTACAGTCAACCCTAAAAAATTTCGTGTAGCCTACCCTAAAAAGTTAGAAAAAAACTTTGATGATGACGATTCTCAGGGATATTTTGGAAGAATGTCAAAGCCAATGGCCTTGGCCATGCTAGAAGGATTCAAAAGCCTCTCAAGATTGGACTTCCTGCTGAATTCACATTTGTAGCGAATTTTAGTTGGGGTCCCTGATTTTTTATTTTTTTATTTTTGATATTTTAATGGTGGGATATTATGTTGGGGGCATTCGTCCTATGACCACCATGGCACTCAAACTCAAACTCAATTTAAATGGATGATTTCTAGGCTATGTTGTTAGTTCTAGTTTTAGGGGTTTCTTTAGATATAGCCAAGGACCTGGAGTTTTGCTTTCTTGGGGCCTGTTGTATTTGCTACAGCCCCCAGGTCTATCTATTGAACCCAAATCCCCTGGTTTACGCACGTTGAGCATCACATGCATTATGCGAACTACAAAGGAGTGTGGTGTATAAATGGTGTTGTATTTTGGTGGTGTATTTTTTTTATGAAAAATCTTGAGTTATTTTAAAATAATATATTTTTGAAATATAGTGTTTTAAAAAATATATTTTGTTTTATTTGTAGAGAGAGTTACATTAGATTATTTATTCCGCATTGAAAATTAGGTTAAGGAAAACCATGTTGAAATATGAGTTTATATTCACTTGTGATCTAGGAACCACAAGGAGCTCGAGGCGAACTTTACACTTAGCACATTCGCATTGTGGGTAAGCTTGTGGTTCGGGCAAAAATAAATCTTTTTTTTTTGTTTTTAATTTGAAGTTTGGATCCATCTACTTATAAATAGATGATTATTTTCAAAGAAAAGAATTTAGATTTGAAGAATATAAGCACCTACATCATTCCCTCTCCATCTAATCTTATAATTTGATGATTATTTTTATAAAAAATTAGATTTTGAATATATAAACACCTAGATCATTCCCTCCACAAATTGGACGTTTTGGTACAAATTTGAGATGATATTTTTCTTCTAGACACATGGAGAGTTATTTTTTGAAAAATTATCACTAATATACCTTAATTTGTATCTATTTAGAAAAAAAACTCGTTTCATAAAATGATGCTTTAAGTACCGTTAAAACTAATCCATATTATATGACATTTTAAATATCGTAAAAACTAACCCATGTTATACGGCATTTTAAGTACCGAAAAAACTAACTCACGTTATACGAAACTCAAAATGCCGTAAACATTTTTCTTATGTTCATATTTATATGTTTCATGTCTCTCATTTTTTTTATGTGTATCTATTATTTCTCTCTCGAATTCTTTTTAATATTTATCTCTTGTTTCTTTCTCTAATTCTTTTTAATATTTATCTCTTCTTTCTCTCACTAACTCTCTTTCTCTCTCTTCATCAACTCAAGAAATACGATTCCAACGCGATACAAACCTGGCTCCGTCTAATTTCAAGTGTCGTAGAACATGTTTTAGTTTTTACGGTACCTAAAATGCTGTAAAATATGGGTTAGTTATTTTAGTTTTAGGTTTACCACATTTCAAACGCTGTATAACATGGGTTAGTTTTTACTGTACGTAAAATGTTGTAAAATATGGGTCAGTTATTTTAGTTTTATGGTACTTTAAGTAACGTAATTGTGCTTCACGGTAATACGACTACTGTGAGGATTATTTTGGTAAAAAAGCCGTTAAAATTGAAGACGAAAGGTGTGGGCGAGGTTTATGAAGTTTAAAGGTTTTTTTTTTTTTTCTAAATATGCAAAAATTAAAGTATATTTGAGATAAATTAAGGTTATATTCATTTGCTAGATTCTACATATTACATCCTCAAAATTTGAGATAAAAAACGTAAATAAAAGTTTATGTAAGGTTGCAACCTCTAAACAAAGGATTAAAAATGCACCTCAAAAATCTAGTGGAGAAGGTTGTTTTAATATTGAAAAATCCTCTTATTGAACATCTCGACATTGAGATGTATGAATATTGGATTTTTTTTTTATAATTTAATATAAAAATAAATTTTCATATAATCTTAAGAACTTTTTGCACCAAAATTTTCATACGTTTATAGATTTTAACCATTTCTGAAGTTATTTTTATATCTAATTATAAAATTTTAAATTTCAAAAATGGTTAAAATCAAATAAATCTATAAGCATATGAAAATTTAAAAAATGGGCAGTGTAGATAATATGTTGTAAAATATACTATTTTTGAGATTTAAAATCTTTTTATTTTTTATAGTTATACATTTTGATGTCAAGATGATCAATCAAATGACTTTTCAACATTAAAACTACCTTTTTTGATGGATTTTTTAGGGGCTTTCGTAGTTCTACATTATAAGGTAGCATCCTCCTAAAAACTTTTTCCTTCCCATTTTGGTTTGACTTAAAAAGTTTATATAGGGCATCTATTCTAAACAATCAAATTATAGCCCACCTAAAAAATATCACTACAATAAGTTGTTTTGATGCTTAAATGTCTTCAAATTGATTATTTCGACATGATGGACATGGAAAAAAAAAGGTTCTAAATTTTGAAAATAATACATCTTGTAACATATTTTTTTTTAGCTTCAATTTTTTAGATTTTCAAGTTTTATTAGATCTTTTCGATGTACACTATTTTAAAACTTTAATTTTTATAATTAAAAATAAATAAATATTTTAAGGAGATTTCTCACCACATTTATCTTCGAACAATTTGAAGCTAGGCTTGACTTTGATTGTTTAGAGCCTTTACTCCTGCACCCATCTATCTCTATTTAACCCGCTTTTCCATACATATCTCTCTCAAACTCGAAACCGACTCAGCAGGGGAACTTTCTCGCCTCAGAGAGAGAGAAACTCATATTTTAGGGAGAGAAAGAGACTCAGAGCCCCCGTCAAGGCATCAACAATGGCTCTCTGCCATAAAACCCTAATTGGGTTCCTCCTTTTCATGGCTGTCCTCCTTGTTTCAGCTCGATCTGAAGCACCCACTGCCTATGAGATGCTAGAGAAATTCAACTTCCCCAAAGGGATTCTTCCCGAAGGTGTGAAGGGCTATAAACTCCATGAAGATGGAAGCTTCGAGGTCCATCTCTCTGGACCCTGCAACTTCAATGTTGATGGTGGTTATTCTCTTAGTTACAGAAGCAAAATCTCAGGTCAAGTGAGCCTTGGGTCCCTGAAAAAACTTCAGGGTGTGAGTGTTAAGATCCTATTCATATGGATTGGGATCACAGAGGTGAGTAGAGCAGAGGATCAATTGGATTTCTTTGTTGGCCCTCTCGCTGCATCTTTTCCTCTCTCGAACTTTGATGAGTGCCCGACTTGTGGATGCGGCCTTAACTGTGCTAATCCCATTGCTGATGCATAAACTGTGATGTAAAAATCCTTTCTTTGTCGTGGTTTCTTGCATGAATGACATGCGACATTTGGTAACGATTTGGATTTTTTTCTGTGGACCGTGTAATTTCACCTGAACTTTCTTTGTTCTTTTAGTGGGTCCTTGCTAGTATATAACATGGAAACTTATTGCTATTTATTTGGGTTTTCTTTCTATGGTTCGTGTAATTTTTCCTGAATTTTCTTATTTTCTTTGTGGGGTTTTCCTGATGTATAACATGGAAAATTATTGCTGTTTATTTGTTTTTTTCATTCATAAGATATGGAATGGTTCACACATTTGCATGTGCAACTAGAATTTCTTTTTCCTTTTGAATGTTCATTTCATATATTACATGGAAAATTTGCCGTTTATATGTTTCTAACTTGCTACCATTCCTATGGTATGTAGAGTCCCATGAATTGGTCTTAGAAACCCATTCTTGTTGAGATCTTTCATATATAGCCTAGAAAAATTGTTTCTTTTGAACATGGTTCCTCTTCGTGTTTTTTTTTTTTTATTGCATTATACAGCTTAGAAAAATTGTTTTTTTTATTGCATTATGATGATCTCGGTTGCATTTTGTAGTATGTGTCAAATTTATGCTGGGTTTCAGCTGACTATTGTTGGGATCATTGTAGTAAAACTCAGCGAGTCTTACTCGGACTCTGCAGGCTGCCCAAATTTATACTGGGTTTCAGCAGTCTTCTGGTTATTGTTTGTGGGCCATGTTCTGTCTATTGTTGGGATCATTGTAGTAAAACTCAGCGAGTCTTTACTCGGACTCTGCAGGCCGCCTGGAACTAAAACCACGGGAATTGGCCAAGTCTGCCGTTTCGTATATTTTTTTTTATTTTGTTTTTGGTTTGGACTTGGAATCGGCTGAGTCTGACCCAACTTGAAGTCGGGGCCCTAGCAGACCAGAGTCCTTGTTTTACGACACTGGTTGGAATGATAACAATTGATGCTTGGGATTGTTTCAGTTTGAGGTAATTGTGTGTAATTCGGTTTTTTTAGGTGAATTTATGGTTCCATCAGTGAATTACAATGTGAATACTGCAAAGCATGAAACTCAACTCTAGGACTGTCTGTAAGTAAAAGAAGGCTAGGTTATAGGTTTTGCTCTAACCTGATTAAATATAAAACTGATCTTCAGTAAGCATAGAACATGAAGTAATGACTCCGGTCCTCCCACTGGGCTTTTTTACTATCCATCTTCTAGAATTGCCAATGCATGTTTCACATGTATCAGGTATGTTAGGCAATTTTCAACAACCAGGTTTTGTTTCATTTTGTAATTGAAACCATTGTTCAAAACAAAGGACTTGGCTCCAGAAGCGCTAGAGTCCCAAGCCGAGTGAACTGATGTGGCCGAGACCAGAGTGACTTGGCCGGTTCCATGGATTTTTTTCTAGGCTCGGATTTGGCATGCTGCCAAGTCCTAATAAGTTGGGCGAGTCGGACTCACGAAGCTTTCTGTCACTGATCTCACCAAGTTCTATATCACTGATCGAAATTAAGAGAATGTTGATCCTTTCTAGTGGATTTATTTGCACTTTCTTCTTCTTGAGAAATTAGGAAACCCTGCTCTGGCCGATACGCATGCCCATATGAGCTTCTAAGTTACCTGGTAACATTATGGTGACCATACAATGGTATACGCTTCAACTCAAGCCCCCAGCTTCTGAATCCTTCCATGCCCATGCAGCTGGCACAAGATGTAGTCGTAAGCAACATGCTAGTTCTTTCACAGTCCAGCTCTAAGGTTTTATTAGGCTGAGCAGTCTTACCGATACCTGCCTCTCCTTCCCCCTCTCTTGCATTAAGGTTCTTCTCCCAAATACCATTGGTTTTATTTGTTCATTAGATTTAGTGATACCCACTTGGTTAAGAAGTACGCTTAAGAAACATGCGATTTTGCTTATATTCCAGTTCTAAGGTTTTGAGCCCAGCCATGGTGCTGATGCGCACTTCCTCCTTTCTCTCTTGTTGAGCCGTTTCTCTAGATTATTATTGATTTTATTCCTTAGATTTAGGTAATGTGATTGCTCTTTGGAAATTATAGCTTATCGCTCACCCATGAATATCCAATGTATTTTTTATTGGAAAACAACAGCCATACACCAGTTTGAGGGGGATGATAACTGTCCACCAATTTGAGGGAGAGACATGAAGTGTTCAGACTGGTGCTTTAAAGCAACAACTCCGGTCAGGAATCTCTACGTCCTGAGCTAGAGTCAGGTAACTCCACTCGGCCAAGTCTTATGAAACTTAACAATAAAACCTTGGGACTTGGTCTGTTCTCAATGATTTTGGTCAGGACTCGAAAGCCTGCTGTGTCGAACTAAATTGGGCAAGTCCCCTGAGATTTCACATAGGTGTAGTCTAAGGTTCATATATTCAGTTTAGGGTGTGTTTATATGAGGCCGAGGCCTTAAACAATCAAATTGGGCGCACCTTCAAATGATGCTGAAATATGTTAGTTTCAGTATCAGAAATCTTTAGGATGGTCTGAAAATTTATTTTCATCTCTAATTATAAAATTTAAAGTCCAAAAACAATGTAGATTGAACATATCTATGAACACTTGAAAATCTTGAAAATTGACGATCTAGATAATACATTACAAGAAGCATTATTTTGAGATTTGAAATCTATTTTTTCTCAACCTCCATACATATTGAGGTTGAGATTATCGAATTGAGGGTCAATCAGCATTGAAACAACATTTTCTAATGAATTTTTGAGGTGCTCCTTATTTTATTTTGTTTGTTTAGGGCCTCACCCTTATATAAACTTTTTATAGAGTCTACTTGTATGCAGTTTATATAAACTTTCATGTTGAGGAATGCAAAGTTCAGCTGCAAAAAGTTTTGGAATCTTCTCCTCCTCTTGACCAAAACAATGTTTGGTGGTACAATATATGCAAGTATGCATGCATGCATGAACCTATGTATGCATGCATGGGTGTGTCCATGTGAAGCTGTAAAAAATTTGTGTGCATTCGGTTCTGCCTCCTCAAACCCATGAAGTTTCTTTGAACATTTGGGCATGATCTGTGCTCTAATGAATCTTTGAATTTCTTCTTATTTAAACATTTGGAACTAAATCCTCAACTCCATTTTCAATTGCTTTGAGTATGAGCAATGGCATTTTATTATGAGAAATTATTGTGTGGGACACCAACAAGCAATAATTAACTGAAACCTAATGATAAAAAACAAAAGAATATTGGTAATGATCTACAGGAAAGCCTGGCTCCTTGTGGACCTCTTTCAATCACATTTGGCTTCTGATTTTTACCAAATGCTTGTATACACACACTCTCTCTCTCTCTAGCATGTGATGTACCAAATGCTTACCTCTCTCTCTATATGTATATAGTGCTGACATCTCTCTCTCGTATATATGTCAGCTGGGATTGCCATTTTTTTAGGAATGGGGATTGGGCATGAATGGTTAACTGTTTAGCAACGCGTCATCTCAAGCTCGACTCCTACCACTGAAAAAAAAGAAAAAAAAAAAAAGGAAGCAAGCTTGGTTGGCAAAACAATACTCTGAACCTCGAATAAATAACTGACCCGGTTTCTATGATGCCAAGCCCACATATGTAGAAATGCCAAGCCCACATATCTCTTGATAAAATTATATTTGTGATTACTTTTTAAGGACATATAATCTTTAACATATAGATCATGGATATAAATAAATAAATAAATTTTAAAAACTAAAAATAATAATTCTAGAGAAAAAACATTTGGACTTTCATTGTTTTTAAATGGAACACTTATTTGCATCCATCTGTCAAATGGATGCTTTACACTTTTTGGATCGTAGAAATGCGGATCAGCTTGCATGAAACAACTTTCCTTAAATAAAAATTGAATAAGTATAAAGCAAGGGGACATATCGATGGTGGTCTTGTTATTGATAAGGGGAATTAGTAGACCTCAGGAAATTAACGTACAGTATTTTTAAAATTAAAAAAATAGTCACATAATTTTTATAGTTTACTCCTAAGTCCTTTTTGTAAGTATATATATTGTTTTTTTTTTTGACAAATTGCCCCAGCCCTTGGAACTCGATTATGATGAGTTCATAGTTGATTATCTAAGAGCAGGGAAGAATTTGCATGAAAGAGTTTTATCAGGGAAGTTCTATGTCATATTAGGAAGTTCTCTGAGTTTCGTCATCTTGTTTGCAAGTATGGATTACCCTTGTTGACGGTTTTGCTTGGCCCGTCGTGAAGGTACGGGGCTGGTATTGTGAAAAAGGTTGAGCTACACACCTTAAAACCCTGCTTGGAAATGCAGTTTGGCGGCTTCAACCTTTAAGATGGTTAGAAAGTCCATTTCAACCCTTTACTATGAAATTTAAAACTCTAAAAATGATACAAATCTGAAAGATTTAGGAGCATTTGAAAATAGAGGGTCCAAATAATATACGGCAAAATGGGTCCCAATAATAATCAACAATATGCGCTTTTATTAGCTTTGAAATCCTTGTTCTGTTTTTGGTTTTTTTTTCTCATATTTATTATTCTTGAGGTTAAGATGATCAATTTGATGGTTTTGGAATGCCAGAACAACCTTTTCAAGCAGGTCTTTGAAGCCTTTCATAAGGCTTGCATAAACTTTTTCCAGAAGGCAACAGACAACAAGTACAATGAGAGAGAGTGGGAACAAAGTGGGCATGCAACTACAGCCTTTGGATCTCCATTTAGGACTCTTATATACTCCATTTAGGGCTCTTAAATAAACTTTGTATTAAGGGTGGCAACGGGCAAGGGATCCCCTGGCCACGGCCCTTGTCCATTGGGCCGGGCCAAAAAAAAATGAAGAAAGAATAAGAGAAAAAACAAGAAAAAAAGAGGGTGGGGTGGGCTGAACAGGCCTGGTACTGGCCCTCGGACCACGATTTGTAGCCCAAGCCCTACTTCTTTAGGGCCGGGCTGGGTCGTCTGGCCCATTGCCAGCCCTACTCTTGTATGATACATGCAAAAATTACTGCTCATCCTTTCTACTCCTAGATGTCAACTTAGCAACAAACTCTGCCTCTTTCAATCTTCCCTCAGAATTAAGGGCAGCCATCAACTCCCTCAAACAACCCTCATCAGGTTGCCTACCTCTCTCCACCATTTCATAGTAGAGAGAAAATGCATCTTTTGTTCTCTTGGTTTTGCAAAGGCCTCTTATGACCCTGCTGTAAGGCCCAATATCTAAGTCCCCATGCTTCTCCAGACTGAACAATGACAATTGCTTTGCCTCCAAAAATCTCTTCTCTTCACAAAGAAAACTCAGCAATCTCTCCATCTTCACCAGATAATCATTCTCATACAATAATTGAAGAATTTCAAATGCATCATCTGACAAACCACCATCAAAGAGAGCTTCGACAAGATTTGTGGATACATTAATATTCTGTCTAATCCCCCTCTCTAGCATCATCTTAATGGTGTCTGCAGCTTCTCGCACCTTATCATCTCTCATAAGCATGTCGATTATCGAAAAGAATATAGATGTTTGAGGAACATGGCGACTTCTCAACATCCTTTCAAGAGTCTTGAGAGCGAAAATTGGATCCCTCATCTCTATAAATCCCTTAAGCAGGGCAAGATATGTCTCCACATCAGGTACAAAGTCTCTCCTTAACATCAAGACCAGAAGATTAAACCCATTTTTCGGGTTTCCCTCTCTACAGTGTCCAAGAATCAGGATTTGAAAGGAAAAGGGGTCTTGAGTCCCTCTCTTGTGTAACTGCCTGAATGCAATCTCAGCTTTTTCTGTTTTCCTATTCTTGCACAGATATTCCAATATATGTTTATAACCGGCAACAAGAGGAATACACCCCCCAGGTTTTAACAAAACACCACCGTCCACAAGGTCATCTAAGAGCTCCGCTGCCTCTTCAAACCTATCTCTAAGACACAGGTTCCTAATAAGAACACTGTAGGTCGCGGAGTCAGCCTCGACTTTAATCTCCGAAAACTTACTGAATATCGCAAGCGCATCTTCCAATCTGTCAGCATTGCAATGGGCATTCATCAGAGTGTTGAAAGTGCAGGTATCTGGCCTGAATTCAGCACTGTGCATTATCTCTTTCAAAATCTCATTGATTTTATCGAGTTTTTGAGCTTCGGATAGGCCTTGAATCAAAGTATTATAGGTTACATTGTTGGGTTTTACGCCTCCATTCACCATTTCCTCGTAAACTTTCATTGCCTCTCCAATCAATCTCTTCTCACAATAACCTCTTATCAAAGTAGTATAGGTGACAACGTTTGGAACCAGAGCATCTCCTTTCCTTAACAACCCATCAAACAATTTACGGGCGTTGTCGACTTTCCCAGCTCTGCAAAGCCCATCCAAGAGAGTATTATATGTGACCATATCAGGTACACAGCCATGGCAAACCATGTCGTTGAAAAGCCAAAAACTTTCGTCCACCATTGAGTTCATACAAAAACCTCTTATCAGAATATTGAAAGTATAGACATCTGGAGATATTCCTTCTCTCCCCATATCTTCATACAATTTCTTCACCATATTTGTTCGGCCTCGACGCAGTAGAATTCCGAAGAGATTATTGTATGTCAAAACAGATGGGGCTACCCTGAATTCTTTCATCATTCTGATAACTTTAATGGCCTCTTGAATCATCCCTGCTCTTCCATAGCCTCTCATCAAACTGTTAAAGAATCGATCTTCATAATAAAGCCCATTCTTGGGCATGCTCAAAATCAAGTTCTTTGCTGAATTCAAGTTTCCCGTTCGACCCAAAATCTCCAACATCCTGAAATAGGTGTTCGCATCGAGCTCGCAGCCTCGACTGTGCACCCATTTGAAGAAAAGCAGAGCTTTTGATGGGGTTTTAATGGTGTATAGAACGCGGGTTATAGTGTCTAGAGAGAGAATGGAAGCAAATGGCATGAGAGAGAGTTCAAGCTGAGACGACCAGGGGTTTTCGTTGATGAGTTGGGATATGGAGCGAGAAGCTTTGTTGATCGGGCGATGGGTTTTCTTCTTCTCCATGAGAGGAAGGGTCTTCTGCGAAGCTCGGGTTTTCTTGCTGAGAGAAATTGGAGAAGCAGAGGAAGCGTGCTTGATTCCATTGAATGAAAATTGGGCTTTGGGGAGTTGCAGAGGCGCCATGGGCAAGATGGTGAACAACCCAACAACATCCACATACTTGATCAACTGAGAGAGAAGCAGTGGGAACTTGGCTGCCCTCTTCTTCTATTTTTAAATTAAATTTTTGTGAACTTGGTTCGGATATTGAAATTCTGGTCATTGGGCTGGACCGCATGACTACATATGCGGTCCAAAGAGAGTAAAACATCCATCTTTTAAGACGGATACAAGTAGGTGTTTCATCTAAAAACAATAAAAACTAAAGGTCCAAATGTTTTTTTACTAAAATTTTATTTCTAATTTTTTAAATTTACTTATTGTTTGATACTCATAATTTCCGTGTTAAAGATTAATAGTCCTTAAAAATTAAGTGCAAAAATTCATCTCTATTAATGGGCCTGTATTTCTACATATGCGAGTTCGCCGCATAAAAATTGGGCCATTATTTGAATTTTAGGTTAGGAATTTCAAATCCAAACACCATTACTTAATAATTTAACTTGATTCTTGGCTTCTCTCTCTTCTATCTTTGTTTTTTCAAGTAAGAGCTCTCTTCTCCCTTCGTTTTCTCAAGTAAGTGAGGAGTGGGGTTTGGATTTTACAATTCCAGACCCAAAACTTAAATAAACCTGTTCATAGTTTCAAAACCAAACCTGTTGGTTCACTAAGAACCAGTTCTAAATATAAATTTCTAAGTCAATTTTTTAGTATTTCTGGTTCAAAAGTCTGTACTAATGGCATTTTAGGTTAAACCAAAGAAGTCGACAAATTATGCACATGGGCATAAATTTCAACATACGGAAAATCATTTTTAATTCTGAAAAAAATTGGCAGATATTAGCACGAATTTCCCTTTTCTTTTTTGTTTTTATCTTTTCTGGACGTTTGAAGAGTCTCTCTCTCATCATTTTAGTACACGGATGAAGCTTCTATAAAGCCTAGGCTTTATGAAATCAAAATAAAGCCTCACCTTAAATCTTAATCCCGAAGCATTTTGGCAATGTAAATCTTCATGATGGCTCTAAAATCAATTTTCAACACTAAAATAAAATTTAAAACTAAAAAAATAACAGACCGAAGGATCTATGAATCCTTATTTTTAGAGCAAATTGGACAATCTAGTTAATTTATATTATAATATACATTATTTTTAAAGCTTTGAAATCCCTTTTTTTTTTTTTCACAACCATAATGTTCAAGTCGAGATGATCCATTTAAAGGTTTTTTAATGCTTGAATTGTAATTTTTGAGGAGTAATATCAAACCATTTTCCTTTCAGTATTGCAAGACCAATTTTCCCATCTTAATGGCAAAAAGGCAAATAGCTAATATCACAAAATTTCCCATTCCCAAGTACAGCACCATTGTCTCATGATACCAAATCCGAAAAAAGATCTTCACTGTTTATGCAGGAATACGAAATTTCCAAGTTTTCTACACAAAAAAATTATCAAATTGCAATTATCAGTCGATCTCAATTATCTCGGGTACCGGTTTCTGGTACAGCATACAGGTTAGTAAGACGGCATCTCCCGGTGACTGATCGGTCCTCCAAACCTTCAAGTCTAATGGCAAAAGATTTTTCTCACTCCATGTTCTCATCAATGAGAGAGAAAATGGGCCCTGAACTGTTCCTTTTGGGGCTTCGTAATGCCATACTTCTTCCTCAGTTCCATCATAGTCTTCTTTGGATTCTACATCTATGATATTACTCGAAGGTGCTTGTTCTACTGACTTTGGTTCTTCGCTATTTGTTTTAACATTTTCTTTCTCATCATGGTTCGGGTTTTCGGGGTCAGCTTCCTGATTTGGTTTGGGCTCCGCATTTTCGGGAGCTTCAGTTCCAGGGGCCACCTTCTCTACTTCAACAGAGTTTTGATTGTCTCCTGTGAAACCAAGAATTGGAATCGTAAACAAAATGAGTAGTAGCAACAATAAGGAAATGAATAATCAAATGCAAGAAACATATTCAAAAGGTGAACACTTCTGTGTATGAACGAGAGAGAGAGAGAGAGAGTTTAATGAGTGCAGTCAAGATAAAATAACCAGAATGCAAAGAAAATTGAAAGAAGAGAGCACAAATTGGAGTCAGGGATAGGAATGCACATAGCAAAGACAAGAAAAATGCCAAACAAAAATTCAAAAGAAAAGCAAACAAAAGGGAAAACAGCTAAAGGCATGAGGCTTAACAGTGAAAGAAAAAGTAAGGATAGAAGAGAAAAGGGCCAATAATTATATACTAATTTTCTATAGGCAACATGCAAAATCCTAACAAGTCACGGCCATTGAGTGAATGTGTCTTCAGGGTCGACACCTTCCATCCAAAAGTCGGATTATAATGAAGAGCGTGGGACCTGCCAAAGATTTTTTGGCTATCACACTCCTGGGTGATGGGACGGTGATGACCCTCATGATCAGATCCGAGGCAGTTATGAGGATTTCAAATTACTTTGCTCATAGCTTACATCTAAATCTGGTGAATTAAAACAAAAAACAAAATGCATAGGGTCCTGGCAAATTGCAAGCCCAAACTGTCAAATCATATAAAACTGTTAAAAAATAAACAGTTGCAGCTTCATCAAGGAAAAGATTAATGGTGAAAGCATGCTTAAAAATTCACAACGAGAGAGAGAGAGAGAGAGAGAGAGAGAGAGAGAGAGAGAGAGAGAGAGAGAGAGAGAGAGAGAGAGTAGGTAGTTAGTAAGTAGTAAGTAGTTATTGTGTGTACGTACGAACGAAGAGTAGTAGTTACGTTCTTACTTACTACTACGTACTAATAGTAGTAATATAGTAACGAA